TGTGTGTGTGTGTGTGGGCTCACATGTGTTCATGGGTGCCAACATTAGTACCCAAGCCAGTACAGCATGTGTTTGATGGATGAGCTGCACCTAATTTAATTTCTCATCATTTTTTTCTTTCTTTCCTTTTTTTTGTTGTTGTCATTTTCACATGTGCCCGATGGGTCGAGGAGTCTTCGTTCAACTTCATTTACTGTTATCTCGACTGCGGATGAGGCGAGGTGAAATTATTTCCAGCAGAGTTGATTGCTGAAATCCTTGGAGTTTTGTGGGGCTGTTAAATTTTTTCTGTATCTGTGTTCTAGTTGCAAAAGTCTTATCAAAGCACAATACCGCCAGTATGTAGAGGTGATGTAAAAGACAATGTACTATTCTTCTTGATATATTGTCATATTATTAATATCGTGTTGATCCGACTGTTTTTCGATTGTTTTTTTTTCTTTTCATATAAAACATACTCGATATTGCCTGATAACCCTGTCTCCATCTTCCAGGTAATAGGCTGATCTATTTAGTTATCAGAACATAAATAAAATGTAAATATCATTTTGGAAATTGTTATTCTTCTGAGGTTTTATTCTTATCGGTGAATTTCCTCTCTGAAGCCTTTATTTGTCTGTTTGGTTGAATAGGTGAACAGAGGCAAAGCAGTGTATTTTTCAACTCCAGATACTGTGCAAATGTTCATGTTTTAATCACGAGTAGCTCTCAGAAAATCTGATTACGCATTTGCATCTAGGGCGTTTTTCTATCTCCATTTTCCCTAATCAACGTGTTATCTTGAGTTTTGCTTCATACAACATTTTCTTGGAATTAAATCAACATTAAGCGAAAGGTTTGGGGGCAGGAGTCTGGTATTAAAATAGATATTACTTATCTACTTCAACCATTCATTTGTGCTACAGTTTTAATAGCTGCAAGCCAAAAAATTGGGTGTTTTTGAGCTCCACACTTTTGAAATGTAATTACAGTTTCAGCTGCTGTATGACAAATGGATGGATGAGAAATATCCTGCACAGCTAATACAAGTTTTATCAAGATTGTCAATCAGCCAGCAGCCGCACATTATGGACGGCTCCTCTCATATTCTACTGTACATCTGGTGCTGCCAACTGCCACACTTATATTAGAAAAGCGGCTTGGTGAAGCATGGCTGTGAATATTAGAGCCCAGTTTAAACATGGTCTGCTTTGAAATCATGTTTGTTGCTCGGTCGGCTGCACATCAGTCCACTGCTACCAGACATTAAGGGTTATTCTAGGATGAGAGGTTTACTTTTGCCTTATCATTTTTTCATGATTTCTTTTAGTGGAAAACCAAACATCAACATTGTTTATCAAATGTGAGCGAGCATTCATTTTTTATTATTCAAAGGAGAAACCTCAGCTGGTAACCAGGCATTAATATACAAGTGTTAAAACTCCCGGGAACCGGCTCCAACATCTGATCAAGATTTTTCCTGTTTTGAATGTCTGAAACATGATTTTGCCCCCTGATGGTTTTATTAGTTTCTGTTGTACCTGCCAAGAAGACAAATTAATCAAGAAATAAAAGATGATGCTGTTCATTTCCTGCTCGCATTTGTGTCTTTGTCTGAGCGACAGTCTCCGAGTCAGAAGATTGCAGGGGAGGGTCAGAATACAGGAGAGCTGCCTGCCACAGACATAAATCCTGCAGAAGATGCTTCCTGAATCCTGATAAGGCTCCAGGGCAAAGCAGGTGGGGGTGTGTGGGAGGTGGCAATACCAGCGGGAGTTCAGACAACCTGGAAATCTTTCCAAAAAATCTGGATTAGGAAGGATCTTGTGGTCTTCAATGATCACTTTCACGTTTTGCTAGCAGATCCAGAAGGACACCTTCCTTCCTGGATGAGGTTAAATCATTATGTGCCCTCGTTCAGCTTTCCAATAAAAAGATCAGAGTTGACTGCTCCCTCCTTGCTGTCACCTTGTTGGTTGACAGACAGCCAGAGAGATGCTCCTGTAACGAAGCCCCTCCCAAAAGGCCTGGCCTTCTTAAATGGCTCTAACACCCTCAGCTAATCACCACAGGCAGCTGGATGTGATTTAGAGGGGGGCTGTTTTCACGCTGGGATCTTCTAATATTTGTTGTTATATTTTAATGAGACTTGTGTGCATGTTTTCACCCACATCTGTCTGTTTAATTATGCCTTCTGCTGTCACTGAACGTGCATTTACGCTCATAATCTTTTTATATCAGAGGTAATTTCCTTCTAATCCTATTATCACATGTCATCATCTGCACCAACGAGGAGCTTACACTTGTTTCACAATTTCTTAATGTGGTGCATGGTGTTTTGTCATTTCCAGTAACTAGGGGAAGGCACACACACTAAAAAATCACTGGGTCAATAGCATTGACGCAACACTAAGTTAACTTCGCCCAGTACCAAAGGCTTTATTTGACCCAGCAGTTAGATTTTCTCTCTCTATATATATCTATCTATCTATATATATATAGATAGATATATATATTACACACACAACCGGAATATTGTTATTTTGAAGCAGTGTTGTTTTAGGGTCGATTTGACTGTTTAGCCGCACAAAACAATGTGCATTCAAAGCTACAAACACATAATTAACAATCAGTGTCAAATAGGTTTAAAAAGGTCTTGAGAAAAATAAACCATTTGGTAAATAATAGTACATTTACTCAAGCGCTGTACTGTTTAAGGTATTTGTGCTTCAGTATTTCCATGTAATGCTCCTTCTACTCCGGTGATACATTCGAGAGCAAAATATTGTATGTTTTACTCCTCTACATTTAAACAACTGTTAGTTATTAGTTACTTTACAGATTTAGATAATTGATACAAAACATGCTCAGCAAATAAATTCTGACCTATTATTATCAATTAAGCTATAGAGCATTTCTGCACTTATATAGCAATTATTACTTTCCCCTTCAGATATGTATTAAGACATTTATACAAATATAGGCTTGGAACAATAATGTGTGTCTGATATGTTATTTTTTTCTGCAAAAAAGGTCTAATTTCCACATTCAAATTCTAAAAAATCTTTTAAAAAAGGAATGTATTCCTGTACTGAATCATGTTCATTTTTATAGTTTTCCTGCTGGACACAAGATGTCTCCTACGTCATTGCAAAAGATTGACTTCTATACTATTCGTGATGTAACAAATCATGCTCGTAGGCACCGCCATTAAAATCTGATTTTCCACTTTCAGCACATGGATGTGAAAACATCCTTTTAGTGTCAAACTCTGCACATACACAGTGAAACATCCAACTGTAGGAACAAGAAGAAAAACATTTTCTTTAATAATAACAATTCTGAATATTTCTTCCACTACTGCTCAACAGTAATATAAGAAATAATGGGGATTTGCTTCCCATGGATACTGGGTAGAGTTAAGCCATATATTGACCCAAAATGTGGCCACTTATGACCCAGGATTTTTTAGTGTGTGTTATATTGCTGAATCTATATGGCACAGAAATCAATTTTTTAAAAAGCAGGATTGACTCTCTGTGCTCTGCTTGCCAGCATGTCAGATGAGTCACATTTCTGGTATAAATTTATCCTGTCAGATCTCTCAGTGCAATTAGGATGCTCTGCCGTTTGTCATAGATAAGGCTGCAGTCCCGGCTCCTCTGGGCTCCACTTTACATTCAGCTCGTTAAGAGGGTTAATAATTACACCACAGTCAAGTTTCTCGGCACTGAAAGACTCTGTATTAGATTTCAGACAGGAGTTGTCCTTTAATTTGTTCAAAGTATGAACCCTCATTCAGTCGCTGAATATCCAGGCTGTCAGGAGGCCTGGAAAGAATGAAATCTAATCAACTGCCATCTCACACACACAGGATGTAAAATCCTCTCTGGAGACTTGAAGCACAATGCAGCGATCTTTTTTCACCTATGACTGAGGATTCTGCTACAACTTGTTCCAGAAAAAACATAATGTATCCCCCCTCCTCCCTCGTACGCACTCACACAAGCACAGATCAAACACAGACAGACTATGCAAACAGATGGGATGCCATGTTTTGTACTGTTGTAGCTCCATACTAATTGGGGGGAAGTGTAATGACATCAAAGTTTGGAAACAAGAAAGTGTTTGATTCTGTGGTTGACTTACAGGACCCCAGCCGCTCCGCTCTTAACTTGTTTACTTGTTAATACAGAAGCCACTTCAGAGGTTCAACATCCTCTCTCTGTGTCTCTCTTCAGATGAAACATAATAATGATGATATGCATTCAAAGGAAGTCATGTAGAACTGATTCAGTTCAATATGGAGGTGCTGCGGTTGTGATTTAGATCAGATAATAAACAAGTAAAGAGCTGAATACTCATTTATAAACCTCCTATTGTGATGAAATAAAATGCTGTGGTTTTAATATCCCACAAATATAACAGCTGTGATTCTTGTGATGACTCAGAACGAGATTTGAAATTCAATAGCAGCACATGTGACTTGGCATTCAAGCCAGCCATTATGAAAAGCAAAAGTAAAATAAAAGCTCCAAAAGAATAGTGCTTCTTCAATCAGGCCTTTTGAGTGTTTGTTCACCTTTCAGCATTAAATAAAAGAGTCACTATAATGTTTTGGGTCCATGAATTGTGAAGATGGCACAGGTTTAAAATAACATACAAAAGAACACTTCTATGTCGTTATATCCCACAGGCAGCGGCTCAGTCAGTGGACCATAGTATGGAGTGTGGGCTGGTAGCTGGTAGCGGTGCCAGTTCCACCTCCTGGGCACTGCCGAGGTCCCCCTGAGCAAGGCACTCCTAACTGGTCCCGGGGCGCTGGTACATGGCAGCCCATCTCTCCACATTTGCATGTTTGTGTGTAAAAAAATAATTTCCCCAGTGGAGATTAATAAAGTTAATCTTCTTCTTCTTCTTCTTCTTTATATCCAGCGTGAGGCACATATTTCTTTTACTCTTTTCGGTGAGAGCTGCGGATTCTGTTTGGTTTGGTTTTAGTCCAGTTTGCAGTTTCCGGCAGACAAGTGTGCTGAGTGACATTACAAACAGAAGGAAGTTCACCTTCTCCTGTGACAAACCCAGACAGGGTTGTTTGGTTTGGGTTTGCTGTACATCCAGAAATCGAGTTTCCAAGCAGGCAGTGAACAGACTGGTTTACTGACAGTGAACATATTTGTCATACTTTAAAAGAAAGTCATACTTTAGTAGTAAACCTATTAAGGCTATAGTTTCATTTTAGGGGAGGTTTTATCACTTTTCAGATATTTATTATTGTAATCTTTGTTTTATGCTTAGAATTTTGTTTGATTGAATTTTTTACAACTTAATTATATTAATTTTAATTGTAATGTAATGTAATTTATTACTAATGTACTGTATATACAGTGACTTACTATTCTTCCGAATAATGTTACTCAGCCTTTGTTTGGGTTTTTACACTTCTACTTTATTTTCAGGGTTGGGAGGGTTATTTTATAAATGTAATC